GTTGCTGTTATTATGTGCTGTCGAGTCTGCCCTGACTCCTGACTCATAGCAACCCCTCCTTGGGTTTCCGAGGCAGTATCACTATGGAAGCAGATTGCCCCATCTTCCTTCTGAGAAGTGGCTGGTGGGTTTGAACTGCTAGGCTTCTGGTTAGCAGTCAAGTGCCTTAGACACTATGCTACCAGAGCTCCTATATATGTAAAAAACCCCACCAATATGCTGCTTATAAGAGACTCATATTTGACACAAATAAAAAAAAAATCAAGGGATGGAACATCATATATCAAGCTAACAGCAACCAAAAAAAGCAGGGATGGCAATATTATTTTCTGATAAAATAGATGTCAAGGCAAAAAACAGCAAAAGGGACAAAAAGGGCTGTTATTTACATTTTCTCTCTTTTCTTTTCTATCAGACTAGCTAAAGTTCTGCTGATTTTAAAAATCTTTCAAAAAGCCAACTTCTGGTTTGGTTGATTTTCTCTACTATTTTCAATCTATATTTGGTTTACATATTTGGTCCTCCAATTTTCCTTTTATTATGGATTTCTAGTTTTATTCTATTGTGGTTGGAGGAGAAACTTTGTATGACTTCAGTCTTTTTAAATTTTTTGAGATTTGTTTTATGGCCTAACTTATAGTTTATCCTAAAGTATATTCAGTGTGCAATTGAGAAGAAAGTATATTATGCTATTGTTGGGTTGAGTATTAGATATGCCAGTTAAGTCTTACAGGTTTATAGTGTTTGGTTCTATATTTATTACTGATATTCTGTCTATTCTGGAAAGTGGCATATTAAGTCTCCAATTAAAGTAATAGAAATGTCTGTTTCTCCCCTCAATTAGTTAATGTTTGCTTTATAAAATTTTTATTTTTGTTGTTTGGCGTGGATGTGTTTATAATTATTATATCATCTTGATGAACTCATTCTTTTATCAATACATAATCCCCTTCTTTGTCTCGTGGGACAGTTTTTTACTTAGAGTCTGTTTTGCCTTGTTTCGGGATAGCCACTCAGCTCTCTTTTAGACTACTTGCATGGAACATTTTTTTCCTTCCTTTCACTGTCACCCTATTTCTCTTGGGGTCTAAAGTGAGTCTCTTGTATACTACATATGTTTCTACTTTTTTTTTCCTAAATATAACAATCTTTCTTTTAGTTGTTGAATTTATTACATTTACATTTAAAGAAAGTATTGATAATTAAGAACTTATATTTGCCATTTTGCTATTTGTATTCTTCTGCCTTAATTTCTAAATTGCCTTCTTTTGCATTTGATTTGTTTTTAAATTTCAGTTGTGCCATTTTTATTTCATTCTCATGTCTCTTTCTGAGTATTTTTCAGTTTTTTTTTTTTTCTTAGTGATTACTATGAGGGTCATAACTCCTGTTCTCAGTAATCAACTCCATGGTGGAATCTACTGGGAGCAGCTGAGTAACTGCCTTCGGGTATGTATCCTGCTTCCTGTATATAAGCAGAAGCTTTGAGAATGGTCTCTAGTCTATGGCACACTTGGACCCTGCATGTAGCCGTGTCGTTGCTCAGCAGCCTGCTATGCTCTGCTGACCTTGGGCCTTACAGTGGACTTAAGTTAATGGCCTGCTGTGTGGATTGGTAACATCGGCACTGTGCCTTTTTACTTGTCAACCTTGGAGCTTCTCAGCCTCAGCAGCCAACAGCTGTCTGAGTGAAGAAATGCCTCTAGCTCCAGTGGGCTGGGAGCAGGAGGCAGAGCTGGACCCCAAGGTTGGGGGCTTTCACCCAGCCCCTAGAACCTGGCACTTTGAACTTGGACTTTGAACTTGGCCTCCAAATTATAAGAATAAACTCCTGTTTGTTAAGGCCATCCCATTTGTGGTATATTTCTCATCAGAGTGGCACTACGTGACCGGAACCATATTCTTCTCCAGATTTTATTCCTTTTTGACAACATGACCAAAGTACATGAGGGATCTTGGTCTATAGTTTTCCTTTTTAGTGGTATCCTTACCTGGTTTTGACACTAATAATGTGGTTAAAGCATTCATCTGCTAACCAAAAAGGTCAGCAGTTCAAACCCACCAGCTGCTCTGCAGAACAAAGATGAGGCATTCCATAAATCTTATAGGGCAATTCTGTTCTATCCTAAAGGGTTGCTTTGAGTCAGAATTGACTCAATGACAATGGGCTTATTTTGGTTTTGCCTGCGTTTTGTATTGAGGTTATGCTCACTTCATAGAATGAATTTTGGGGTATTCTATCCTTTTCTATGTTCTGGAATAATTTGAGTAGGATAAGTGTCAGCTCTTCTCTGAATGTTTGATAGAATTCCTCAGTGAAGTCATTTAGGCCAAGATGTTTCTTGTGCAGGGAGTTTTTCTTAGATCTACTCAATTTCTTCTTTTCTTATGGGTCTGTTCAAGTTTTATATCTCAGTCTGTGTTACTTTAGGTATGTCTGTGTTTCTAGAAATTTCCCAGATTTTCCCTAGGTTTTAGAATTTGGTGGAAAACAGCTCTTCATAACATTCTGTTATTAGCCTTTTTCTTTCAGTTGATTCTGTTTTGAAGTCACCCCTTTCATTTATTATTCATGTTGTTTTCATCTTTTCTTTTTCTTAGTTAAATTTCCTACTGGTTTGCCATTTTGTTAATCTTTTCAAAGAACTAGCTTCCAAGCTTTTTTATTTTTTTCCTACTGTTTTCTGATTATTTCTGCTCTGATCTGTATTGTTTCTTGCTTCTGGAGTCTGCAGGCTTATTTTGTCACTCTTTTTTAATTATTAGAGTTGTTGGTTTTGATTCTTTTTTCTTTTTTTGACATGTGCATTTATTGCTGTAAATTGACCTCTGAGTACTGCCTTCCCTGTGTCCCAAAGGTTCTCATATATTGTGTTTTTATTCTCATTTGTTTCTAGGAATTTTTTTTTTGTTTCACACTTTATTTCTTCTCTTACCCAGTAGTTTTGAGTAGTGTATTATTCAGTTTCCTTGCATTAGATTTTTTCCTCTGAAAACAGTGCAATCCCCTCCTCATTATTTGCCTATAGGCCAATCCCTTTATTAGGTGCACATCCATACCAGAAAGTGATTTCAGGACTGGAGTTAGAAGGTCCATCTTCTTTTTCCATTGTCCTCTCTTGAGACTGGCTGCACTTTTCTTCTGAATGACATTACCTTCAGCAACTTCAAGGGATTAGTTCTTTTAAAAAAAACAGGTTCTTTGTCATTCCAAAGGCCAAACTACGTTTCAACTGGGGAGGATGGAAAAGGAGAGCAGCTACATTTATTGATTGTAAAATGACTTCATTATATTTTTTCCATAAAAAGCAGCAGCAATAGTGGCAAGATTTAACTCTGACACAGGGTTATCCTATATAAGGATTTACGATTTTTCTTAGGCTACAATTATGATCTTAAATAATGATGATGATAATAATAATTTACAGAGAGCAGTATTGTATAGATTTTTTAAAAAGTACTTTATATTCTGATAATTATTTGCTATTGCAGTTTTTAGAATGGAAACAAGACTCAAGAATCTACATTGTTATTCATTGCACCACATTGTCTATCCTTGTTTTGGGCTTCAGGTATTAAAAAATACCCATGATTTGTTAAAAATATCTTGCTGTTTCTCAATCTTGACACGTTGACTAGACTGGTATCTCAATTTAAATGTGCTTCTGTTTCTTGACTCCTTTGACTTATCATACACTTAAACTTTTTGTTCAACTACCTTCAATACGCTGACATTACTGACTTGCTTTACATTACATTTAAGCTTCCATTACATTTAATCACACTTTGATTTAATTGCTTGTTTTCATTTTTGTGTTCTTCTTTGAACTATGATTTTATGCTCTGAGTTACTACATAACCTGGCTCGTATTTTTTTTTTTTTTTTTTTGGATGATTGTGATATCAAAGAGAGATCTGGTGGCATAGTTCCTAAGGCATTTGACTGCTAACCAGAGGCTGGAGGTTAAAACCCACCAGGAAGATGGGGCAATCTACTTCCGTAGTGATACTGCCTTGGAAGCCCAAGGAGGGGTTGCTCTGAGTCGGATCCGACTAGACACAGTGAGTTTTTGAGTGACTGATATCAAATGAAAGTCAAAGTAATATGAAAATTGGTTGGAAGACAATAGAAATTTCACTGTCATGGCTTTCTATATTATTTTTAGGGACAAAACTTTGTAAATGGCCTTGAAGGACCACAGTGCCATCACCGAGTTCATTCTCCTTGGTCTCTCTTCTGACCCCAACATACAGGCTTTGCTATTTTTGCTCTTCCTGGGGATTTATCTCCTGACTTTCATGGGGAACTTGATAATGCTGCTGGTCATCAGGACTGATTCTTATCTCCACACACCCATGTACTTCTTCTTGAGTCACCTCTCTTTTCTTGATCTCTGCTTCTCTTCAGTCAGTGTACCTAAGATGCTGGAGAATCTATTGTCTCAGAAGAAAACCATATCAGTAAGTTGTTGTTGTTGTTGTTATGTGCTGTCAAGTCGGCCCCGACTCATAGCAACCCCTCCTTGTAAGGTGCTGCCTCATTCAAATATTCTTTGTGCTTATCACTGGAGGGACTGAAGGCCTTCTGCTCTCAGTGATGGCCTACGATCACTATGCTGCCATCTGCTACCCTCTGCTCTATGGCCAGATGATGAGTAAACAGCGATATGTGCAGCTTGTGTGGGGCTCATGGGGTCTAAGTTTTCTGGACGCATTCATCAATGTCCTTCTGGCAGTGAAAATGGACTTCTGTGATACCTGTATCATCCCCCACTACAGCTGTGAGTTACCCTCTATCTTCCCTCTGTCTTGTTCTGATGTCTCCACCAACTTCATTGTCATGCTTTGCTCCTTTATCCCACATGGACTAATAACTTCCCTTTCAATATTTTTCTCCTACATCTGCATCATCTCCACCATCCTTAGTATCAGTTCCACCTCTGGCAGAAGCAAGCCTTTCTCCACCTGCTCCTCCCACCTCACTGCAGTGATTTTTTTCTATGGATCAGCTTTTCTCCGCTATTTCATGCCAACCTCAGGTTCACCCTTGGAATTGATCTTCTCTGTGCAGTATGGTGTGATCACTCCCATGCTGAATTCCCTCATCTATAGCATGAAGAACAAGGAGGTAAAGGCAGCTGTGAGAAGAAAACTGAGAAAAATTTTATAATGTATTCAGTGGCTGAACAAAGAGAAAGGGTGATAGAGAATTCAGATAGAAATACTTGTAGTAAGACACTAATGAGAACATCTCGACTTCTCATTAAGTCAAATTTGGCAAAATAAATCAGAAACAAATGTAGAAGAAATACAGATCTGTTATAAAGTGGATCATTCACTTCAATCCCATGCAGAGGCAAAAGAATGGTTTGAATAGTCATGTCAAAACATAAAATTTTTTAATGAATATTTTCACCAATAATTCTCTCATATATATGTGTGCATGTGTTTGTACATGTATGTTTTTGTGTGTATGTTGGTGTATATGTGTGTGTGTATGAATGTTGTTTTGGTGTAAATTATCATTATTTGAAGTTAAATTAGGGAAAGGTGCTGAAAATCATAGTTTTTCTGAATAGAAAAATGTCTGTATCTTTTGGGGGAATAGATCATAATGATTTCATAGGGACCTAGGGTAATGAGTTCTGGTTATAGTCACAGGAAGAGAAATGAGTGAGTCACTTTAATAGGCGTGCAACCTTCCCAAGTGTTTGCTGCTACACTGAGCTTAATCTAGGAACTAAGGCTGTGGAGAAACCCACTTCTAGCATAGGTGACCTGATTGTACTTATTTCCCAGTTTAAGTGGGCCCACAGCCTAAGGAAGAAGGACATAACAACAACAACATACATTACTATAGTGCTATTCCATCTGTTGTTGCTGTTGCTATGTGCCGTCAAGTCGGACCCAACTCATAGAGATCCCTCCTTGGGTTTCTGAGGCTGTATCACTACAGAAGTAGATTGCCCCATCTTCCTTCCAAGGAATGGCTGGTGGGTTTGAACCACCAACCTTCTGATTAGCAGTCAAGTGCCTTAGGCACTATGCTACCAGAGCTCCTGATTCCATCTAGACTCTATCATCAAAACATTTCCAAATTTTATATAGGAGAGAAACATTTGTCATCCCTTCAATATTTCTGGATATTCTCCCTTGCTATTTGGAGGACTTGAAAGATTATTAGTTGACTCAAAGACATTTCATCATGAAATCATAATTTGTAAATGCTTATCAGTAACCTATCTTTAATGTAGGAGTCATCATATATATAATTTATAAAATTGTTGCTTCCTTTTTGCTACTTTTATTCATATTTGTATATAGATTACCACATAAAAATTATGGATCATTTTTCACCTGCTCAATATGAATTTTTGAGTATCAATGCATTGCTCTGTTGAAAGCAAATGTGACAATATGGCATGGATATAATACAATATGACATTTTCTGTTCCCTTTCAGTTACAGTCAAAACAAAAGCTTAACTAGGTCATGTAACACCCATTAACAATAGTCAATATTTTCAAATTTTAAAGAAATTGAATTTAAATGATCAAATGTTTACATGTAGAGAAATGATATGTCAATCTTCCCTACTTTCATGAATTTTTATGTTTGTGAGTAGTTTTCTTGGTGTCTCCTTTACTTAACTTCAGGGAGGGAAGTCACCTAACTCTCTTCCATAAGGAGGAGAGTAAATTGCAAATGTACTGCTATTCCCCATTAGGGCTAGGGCATTAAGACTTCCTCTTTCCACTCTAGTCCCCTAGAATTCCTTCTATGTACTGCTAAGTATGTGTTGGTGTGTGAGTCGAGTAGTAGATCTGTTATACCACATGGGAATTAGCCAAAGGTATAAGTATCTGGCCACAGTTGTTGGCAGTTCTGTTTAAAATGGGGAAATTTAACATCTGTCCCCTGTGAGCCCTATCATCAATTCCAGCTCAAAAGGCAAATTGCCTTTAACACATTATTTTGTTTTTTTATGCTTTACAAATATAATACATGTACAATTTTATACTAAGATTTTTCACTTAAATTACATAGTTATTACTTTTATTTCATTAAAAATCCTTTGTAAGTATCAGTTTTAATCATTTTAATAATTTATTAAATACATATTCCAAAGTATAATTAGAGATTTTCCATGATTGGAAATAATTTCATATTTCCCTATTAAAATTTATTTCTCCCAATTTTTTTAATATAATTCAAGGTTGTTGTTGTTGTTGTTGTTATGTGCTGTCAAGTCAGACCCGACTCATAGTGACCCCTCCTTGGGTTTCCAAGGCAGTATCACTACAGAAGTAGATTGCTCCATCTTTCTTCCGAGGAGTGGCTGGTGGGTTTGAACTGCCAGCCTTCTGATTAGCAGTCAAGTGCCAAAGGCACTATGCTACCAGAGCTCCCATAGTTCAAGGTAGCTGCTCAAATAATTTCTTTTAGGAAGATCAGCACAATGCTGGTCCCTATGAGGTGGAAGTTAAAGATGTTCCAAATTTCCAGCTTTTCCACCCTGCTGTACCAGTCCATTATCTCTAACATCAACTTCTCCTCCCTCCATCGGTACTCTCCGTCCTGTCCTAGGGTTCCATATCTGGCTGTGACATCTCACAGAACTCACAAACTGCCAAGGAAATGGCTCATATGATGGTGGAGATTGGGAGGCTGGCAAGTGCCAAGTCTGTGGGAAGTCTGGAGGATTTTCCTCACTCGTGTGGTTGAAGGGGTTGGCAAACCCAAATTGGTAGGTCAGATGACCAGCTACTATCTCAGGTGCAGGGGTGAGATGATGATGAACCAAACGCAGGTCCGGAACAAGAGAGAGCACTTTCCCAGAACATTCACATAAATACCTACAAAGAAACGAAGGGTTGGTGACTTGATTCATACTCTCCAGCAAGGCAGGACTCACGATGCATCTCACCCTAAACAGGCATACGAGCCAAACACCAAACTCACTGCCCTCCAGTTGAATCTGACTCATAGCGACCCCTCCTTGGATTTCTGAGGTGGTATCACTAGGAAGTAGATTGCCCAACCTTCCTTCCGAGTAGTAGCTGGTGGGTTTGAACCACCAGCCTTCTAGTTAGCAGTCAAATGCCTTAGGCACTACGCCACCAACAGGCATAGAGAATGAAAAAAACAAACTCACTGCTTTCAAGTCAGTTCCGATTTTGTAGTGACCCCTCCTTTGGTTTCCGAGGCAGTATCTCTACAGAAGTGAATTGCCAGTCTTCCTTCCCAGGAGTGGCTGATGGATTTGAACTGTCATCCTTCTGGTTAGCAGTCAAATATCACCAGAGCTCCTGCATAGAGACTAGGACATTATAGAATGGAAGACTATGCCTAGAATGGCCATATTAAGCAATACACTGCACTATAGTTGCACTTTAATAACAAAATATAAAATATCTCAGTACAAAGATAATTTTTTTGTATTTATAATTAGTAGAATTGAAATTATTAGATCAGTACATACTATGTTTATTAAGCTTCTTGACAAATATTGGAAGACTGTTTTGCAAAGAATGTGTTTATCACTTAATTGTGATGCCTGTAATGTATGTAAATCCTCTGTCATTACTGTTCCTTGCATTAGATATGCCACTTCTCAAACACAGACATATCACTCAAATATTTGTAAGAAATACAAACACACAATTCACAAAAGGAGAAAAAGTATTGTCCAGTAAATACTCAAACATTATTTACTCTAATCCAGAAAACCGAAGTCACTGCTGTTGAAATGATTCCAACTCATATTGATCCTATAAAAGAGAGTAGAACTGTCCACACAGGGTTTCCAATGCTGTAAATCTTTAGAGAAGGAGACTCCACATCTTTCTCTCGATGAGCTGTTGGAGGGTTCAAGCTGCCGAGCTTTGGTTAGCAGCTCAACACTTTAACCACTGCATCACTATGGCTCCTTAGTATTTAGTTTTTATATTACATTTATATAATTTTGATAAATAAATTTTAAAGATTAAGTATACCAGTAGTAGTCAAATTTGGTGAGACTCTAAAGAGATAAGCATACACATAACCTTTAGGCAAAAGTGTGAACTGATTCAACATTTCTGAAAATTATGTGATAAAATGTATCAAGATCTTTCACAAGGTTCATATTGTCTACCCCAGTATTAATAGGTTCAGAAAAGTAATGTGATACTCCATCAAATTTTAGGTACAAGACTATCAGAGAATTATTCATAATACTGAGGAAAACTATATATTCTTTAACTTGTTTAGTAGTCTAAGTAGTTTGATTAAGGTAAACCCATACTATTGAATACTGTAATCCATATTTACAAATCACTTGTATAAAAATATTTAATGTAAGGAAAATCTACATATTAAAATGCTAATTTAAAGAGACAAAACTAAATCTGAATTTAATTCAATGTCTACCAAATTTTGATGTGCATATGAAATACTTGGGAATGTGATGAATGAAAATCCAAATTCAGTAAATTTGGCATGGGGCTTAAGAGTGTGTATTTCTAATAAGGTCTCAGATGGCATTAACAATGCCAATCCATAGACCATCTTTCAGTATCAAGGATGTAATCAATTTTGAGAAGAAAATTAAGTAGATTTATAGATGATAGATAGATAGACAGGTTTAAAGGAAAAATACCTAAATAGCAGAGTATTATCTAAATGTGATAAATAAAGAGGGATGTTTCTTTTCTGATTCATGTCTTTCTTACTTGAGCTAGTGGTACTTTTGTTCTAATATCTTTTTAACTTATTTTCATATATACTTGCAGTGAGTGAATTGCTTAGTATGGGCATTCTAGGCATAGTCCTCCATTTTGTAATTGTAAATTGTAGTCTGGCATAGTGCCTAAGTCATTTGACTGCTAAACAGAAAGCTGGAGGTCCAAACTCATCAGCCACTCCTCCGAAGGAAGATTGGGCAATCTACTTCCATACAGATACTGCCTCAGATAGGTAAGGAGGGGTCACTATGAGTAAAATGGACTGAGGGCAGTGAGTTTGGTTTGTTTTTTGGTATGCCTCTTTAGGGTGGGATGTATCTTGAGTCCCACCTTGCTGGAGGGTGAGACTCAAGTCACCACCCTTAATTTCCTTGAGGGTATTTATATGAATGTTCTGGGAAAGTTTGCTCTCTTGCTCTGGTCCTGTGTTTGGTTTGTCATTTTC